ACATTCACCCGAGTCACCAGCCTCAGGAAGTTAGCAGCAGCTCAGATCAGAGCCCAGATAGATGCCACACAGAGCTCCAGCAGCAGACACATCTCTACATGTTCAGAGGAGACTGTGTGAATCAGGCCTTTATGGTCAAACAGCTGCTAAGAAACCGACTAAGGAAAAGCATCATTGAAGGCAAACTGGCTGCCACAGCGTCCTGCAGCCACAGGACAGGACAGGACAATGAGCCCAAACACACCTCCAGGCTGTGTGAGGGCTGTTTGACCAAGAAGGAGAGGGATGTCTGTCCAGATGGCCTGGCCTCCACAGCCCTCTGACCTAAACCCAGTGGAGATGGTTTGGGATGAGATGGAGCGCAGAGTGAAGGCAAAAAGGCCAACAGGTGCTCAGCATCTCTGGGAACTCCAAGACCTTTGGAAAACCATTTCAGGCGACGACCTCATGGCGAGAACGCCAAGAGTGAGCAAAGCAGGAATCAAAGCAAAGGCTGGCTTGGAGAGTTATTTCACACTTGTTGATTACTGCATAATTCCACATGTGTTCATTCATAGTTTGGATGCCTTCAGTGAGAATCTATATGTATGAAACTAACTGTATCTTTAGTATGAAACTAAAGAAAAACATTAAATGAGAAGCTGTGTCCACACTTCTGACTGGTAGTCTGTTTCACCGTATGCTTTAGGTGTTTGGTAAAACTTGTGCTTGTGTTTTGTGCTGTAGGTCGGGGGAGGAATGCCTGGCTCAGCCCTCTGGGTTGTGCCATGTTCACTCTGAATGTCCAGATTGAGCTGAACTCCAAGCTCGGACAGAGGATTCCCTTCCTGCAGCACCTGGTTGCTCTTGCTGTAGTGGAGGCTGTTTGCTCACTTCCTGGATATCAGGTATCCTGATATCTCCATAATAACATTCAGACATCCAACTGTTTAGCAGTCCATGTTCTTATTACAGCATTACCACCAGTTAATGTCACTGTATTAAAACCATTGTATTCAAAGCACTGCAGCGTTGGGGCCTTTTTCCTGCTTAGATGTTCTTATATTGTTCTAAAAATGATTGTGCCCTTACTGTACGTTTTATTTATTCATTTTTTTAGGTTTTTCCTCATATGGTAGAGCATGCATGAAGACAGCCTAGTATTTACCTCATAATGGAAATTTCTCTCTAACATATCCAAGCATGGTCATTAACATGCAATTACTTGGTACCATAACCTTGTTAATCACGTGGAAATGTTATTAGACTATCTTCACACATTTTGAAGTATAATAAAGGTCATTGTGCTGGTATTAAAGTACATGTAAGATAGATGACCTTTAACCTCCTGTAGGACATAGATCTGAGGGTGAAGTGGCCCAATGACATCTACTACGGTAACCGGATGAAGCTCGGAGGAGTGCTGGTGACTTCCACAGTACTGGGATCAACTTTTCATCTGCTCATAGGTGACAATCTGCACACATATCACTCATATCAACATGAAGCCGTTCATCACATGGCTAAACTAACATACTGCTTTTAAACTTGTCAACGTAACCTTAACGTAGCAGTACACAAAGTTTTATATGAGAATGAGCGTCTGATTGGTTAAAACTGATGAGGAGAAATCCTAGTGTACATTTATTCTGCCTTCGTTGGCGCCCCGAGGTGGTCCCAGCCTCTCAGCACTCTGTCTCATCCAATCCTGACGAGCAGCACCTAAAAGGGAAGGACCTACTCTGCTGCACGGGTACTAGATGTTTTTCCCTGTTCTCTCACCTTTCACCTAATCACTCCTCACGTCTTAGTTAGCATGAAGGCCACCCTGGCTGAGATACTGGATATTGTTTTTGTCTCACGCGTCCCAATGACCCACCTTATCATAGGACTTTGTGTCCCTTCACACATTGTCTTCCCCGTTCCATTGTACAGGCATCTGTGGTGCCCTGGAGCTTCAAACCTTCAACACTACACTTGCTTTTGCCCTCAGAGGCCTTTACTCCCTCCTGTTACACCTACTCTTCCTCGCCACCCTCTGACTCCTCCTCCACTCGGAACAATGGCAACTGTTGCGGTGTAGAGTTCTTCTCTCAGACAAAACAGCTACGATCAACCTATCCAACAGCCGTCTAGCACATGGAATACAACAACAATCACAGGAAAGTGGAATAGCTAGAAACCACGCTATTCATACTAACAAGGACATGCAGCGGTTTACGCGTTTCTGTCGGCTGTCTGTCGCCGGTTTCTGCCAGATTAGTCCTCGCCTCGGCCAAAGTTCGCGAGGGTGGTTGTGCAGGTACACAGTGTGTCAGGTGGTACCAATTAGCTCCAGCTTTACCTTTACCTGGACTGCATGGGTTATACATTGAATCACCTCACAGGGACCAGTCCTGGGTTCAAGCCACTTTCTCTTGTGAACTTTCACCCATGCCCACTCACCAACCTTTACTGCTCATTGGAGTTGCCTCGAGCTCAGCCAGCTGCACCTGCTTAGACAAAACTCTGGTCGGTTTAGTCAACGCTGTCATATGTTCATCACGACTCACCTGCCAGACATCCAGAGAGGGCATATGACCTCCCTCTCATGGTGGGCCAGGGCACCTGGGGAGGTTCTCATTGACATGAGAGCAATGGGGAGAGAGTCCAGCCACGTCAGTCTATTTCCATAACATAAATCTTTCTCTTCAGAGTCTTATTGGCCCTTTCCACCAGCCTTTGTGAGGCAGGATAGCAAACTGAAACTGTGTTATACCGCCAGCCTTTTCTACCCCTGTCAGTTCTTTATTTGAGAAATGCGAGGCATCATCGGAGCATGTGCTCCTCGGGACCCCAGACCAGGCTATTAACTTGTTTTTCAGCCACTTCACTACAGTCTGCGCTGATTCATTTTTGCATGATACTGCTTCCACCCAGCTGTGAACTTTTCCACCATCACCAGCAAGGACCTGACCCACTCCCACATCAGTGAAGTCAATTGTGATATCTTGAAGTGGAGCCTCTGAGACTGAAACCTTACCACTGGGCATTTGTAGGGCGCCCTTGGGTTGTGCCCATTGCATGTGTGACAGCCCGTGACCTAGTGACTACAAATGTGGTCATGTGGGGGTCCCAGCAGCAGGTTTCAGTGTTCGTCTGGGTCCTCTTCTTTCCTTCATGGGCAAGCCCATGTGCTTGTTTCAGTAGCAGGTGGTATAGTTTCAGCTACTATTCTTCCATCATGGGACCTCCAGAGTCCATTCTTTAAATTTTTATTACATTTTTAAATTTTATTAAATTACATTTTTTTATTTCTCCCGATATCCAATCCAGTCATTTAGTCAGGATCGGACAGACAGATACTGTGGCCTGAGTCGGCGTCTGGGTCCCGTCAATACTGTCCCAGATCCCAGACCTAGGATGGCATCTGATTGGGGAACCTTGGCGCTCCTTCATACTGTGTCTGGTTGGACACTCCTGCTCTGCCTGTGAATGGGTTTGGAAAAGAGGGATAAGGCTCCCAAGGCCCTGTTGTGATAATTTGGCATTGGAGAGGACCTTCACACACTACAGACTGCCTGGATTGCATTATTGGAGTTATGTCGTGCACCTGTAAGCCTTTCCTACAGGGTGGCGGCCCATTTTAAGCACTCCAGCATCCATCCATTCGCTTCCGCTTATCCTTTTCAGGGTCGCGGGGGGCGCTGGAGCCTATCCCAGCTGTCATAGGGCGAGAGGCGGGGTACACCCTGGACAGGTCGCCAGTCTGTCTCTGTCTGAGACAGACAACCATTCGCACTCACATTCACTCGCACATTCACACCTAGTGGCAATTTGGATTATCCAATTAACCTATCCCCACTCCAGCATCCCTTTGTGTTATTTCCTTTTTTATGTCTCCGATAGTCAGTTGGGTATTCCTTAGAACTCCCAGAGGTGATCCCATTACAGGTTGAATAGTATAGTGTATCCTTCTCATGACCCGATGCTGGCTTCCTTTAGTAGTTAACGTGTGGTGTCGCTCCCCTCCAACTTACTCAGCAAGGTCTCCACCTCCGTAGGTGTCTCCCATCGTCTCTCCCTGTAGGATGGTAATCCAGTCTGAGGCTCCTCCTCCCACTGGGGGAAATTAGGAAGGTAGGCCTCAATGTCTCTTTGGGGAACATACAGCAGGCCTCTTCCATCTACTACTCGTAGAGGCAGTTGGGTTATTGGTATTGATTCCCCGCCTTGATCTCTCGGTCACGGTTCCTACGAGTCTGGGGTGGAGATCTCTCAAATGTGAGCTGGGACCCCTCTGCACCACTCATTGGTGGAGGAGTGAATACCCCTGTGAAGTCTCCCACTAGTGTACCCTGAATCTGGGTTGTTTCCTTCAAGTCGTGTGGATCCTCCTCCAATTTTCCACTTGTCTTGGATCTCGTCCTCCAATCGGAGTCCTCCTGTAGGGCTGACCCTTAATATGCAGCCTGTCGATGGCATGGAGGGCGTGCTGGCACTGGTTTGTGCTTCGTGGATAATCTTTTTGGTGTGGAGTCCGGGGGGGCTGGTGAACTCCCGGTGCTAAGTGATCCTTCTTGTTTCAAGGTAAGCTCAGCAGTGGCCTGCTTCAGTTCATTCACCTGCCAAGTGGATTGAATTACCACCTTTACCGCTGTGTCGGCCATTTCTGTCACTTCCCTGTGAAGTGTAGCATTTGCCTTCCGATCCGAAGCCTCATCTAGATCCAGGACGCCAGTCTTTACTGGGAACAGTGGGGGTACTGCCCCCAGCATCAGCATAAGGGGGCGGCGTTGTGGGCAAAGCAGGTAGAGTCTGGCCGCCCCTCCTTTTTCTTCAGAGTTCCCTTCTCCACCTTTCTGTTGCTTTTTCTTTCATTTCTTCGCTTACTTCCCTGCTGCTGTGTGTGTTTGCAGCAACTGGTTTGGCTGGAAATGGCCATTCCTGTTTATGTGGTTTCTTTGGTCACAGCTTGATTGATTTATTTGTTCGACACTGCAAGGAGTTGTATAGGAATTTCTTTTACTTATGTATTAATCACATTATCTAATTGTATGATGTATGTATGTATGATGCCTTGGTGCCACTGAATTTGTCTGACACTCATACGTTAAGACGTTAAGACAAATGATGGGGGTCTAGTAAGGAAGCAGACAACTCCACAGGAAGAATCTTTTGTCTCTTTGTGGACTCTGGGAGGTAGCAAGGGAGTGTGAACCTTAAGGTGTGAAACAGCTGTGTGTCTTTTGTTCCTGGAGAAGGTATTTAACTGAGAGCCATGCTAGGCTCAGAGAGACTCTGCTGACCGTCTGCCCCGCGGTCATGTAGGCTTGGTTGTGTTTTTGGATTAAAGAATGTTAGCTACCGCTCACCGCTCATCTGCAGGCTTTATTTAAATAGAAAACTTCCACAACAGAGTTTACACTAGCTGCCCAGTACTCACTGTTCACATCCTTGTTTTGTTTTTTTTCTGCAACTTCTGTCCAAATCTAACATGAGGATGGGGCCTCCCCAGTTGTCACAGCTGACACAATGCAAAGTCAGTTAAAGAATAAAAGTTAAAATTCTAGCAGAACGGATAGTACGTTTTTATCAGGGAAAACATTGGTATGCTGGCCCTTTGCTCCTATTGTACAAAAACACCACTATTCTACCTTCTTGGAGTTCATCTTTTATAAACAATGCCCTCATTTCTGCACCAAAGTCACTGCAGATCAGTGCTGTTAGATACAGCTCTGTTGTATTCTCATCTCTGCTTTAAGGAATTTGTTTTTGCAAAGAAATTATAATCTGTCGAATAAAACGGCATGAAAATAACGTACACGAGGCATTGGTGACCATAGAAAACAAGCAGCAGAATTTATACCTACATTTCTGCTGTATATTCACATATTCACACATTCTATCCAGTTAAACATTTTTGCGCCCTCACTTTGGGCCTGAAATAGCTTACAGTGCGTTCACTAATTGGTGCATGTTAAATGTTAAAGTTCACGATGGTACGATTGGACTGAAAATGTTTGGCTTGTTTGGAGGAAAGCCTCTTCTTTCAAAAATGAACTTGGTAGCATGGCTTGGGTTTGCATCTGAATAAACCAGAAGACTTCTGGAACAATGTCCTTTTATAGTAGCACGAATTCTGTCAGCACAGCGTGGATGGTTTGGGCTTTTGCTGCAGTCCACCATGAGATATCTGCAGTCAGATGTGAGGCCATCTGTCTGACAGCTAAAGTTTGCCAAAATTGGATTGTCTAGCATAACAACGATCCCTGAAGTACAGCAGCAACTCTACAACATAGTGGCTAAAGAGGAAAAGAATCAAGGTGCAATAATGACTCAGAGTAAAAGTCAAAATCACGATCCTGATCAAAACGCTGTGGAGGAACCTCGAGAACTGTGCACATGTGCACAAACCCAGGTTATCTCAGAATACTGTAATTATCTCTTAAACGTGTTCTTCCCTACAGGCTGCGGGTTTAATGTGACAAACAGCAACCCAACAGTGTGCATCAATGACCTGATCCAGTCGTACAACTTGCAGCACAGCTGTAGCCTGCAGCCGCTCAGCTGTGCCCAGCTCATCGCGAGAACTGTCAACTGCCTGGAGGCCCTTATTGACAACTTCCAGCAAGGAGGCCCAGAGTCTGTCCTGCCCACGTACTACAAGAGATGGCTCCACAGGTGTGTAACGTAGACAACTTGATGCTTTGAACTAAGAGTTCACTTTTACTTAGAATCACTTTCTTTTAGCAACATGGGAACAAGGATTTAATGGGCGATTTTCAGTGTAGAGATGCACTGACCGGATTCAAATCAAGTATCCTTATGATGCCACTTCCTATTTTTGCTTTGACTGACCCAGTCTCTAATACAGAGAAACTGTAATGTCTCTCTAATTACAAATGACATAATATTTAACAATCTCTTGGTACCTCAATTTGTATCATGTGGATACAAATTGAGGTAATTAAATGTGTTCTCTTTATCTTGTGATTAAACCTCATTCAGTCATATTTAACTGTCTTTTTCTGATTCGCCTGTTAATAGACTTTTAATCTTTTATGTACATGTATCCTTCCCAAACACTAAAATGCAGTCAAATCTAATTTATATTCCATTGTGCATTCAGAAGTACATAACATAAAACGGCACATAAAATCCTGAAACAGATGGCGTTTTGTTTGTCATGTAAAGTGGCTCTGGAGTTGGGTCTTAACCACTGTTCAACTTAAGTTTACTAGACCCCACATTCACATTTAAACTGTAAAAACTGCTCTTTGTTCTGACCTCAGTGGAACTTG